CCTGGAGGCTTCCAGGGTAACTCTGCCTAACTCTGTCTTGGTTCACAACCTGACAACGGCCCCAACAGAGGGCTCAAGAGAGAAGGGGGAGAGAACGAGGGAGCTTTCTTCTCAGAGTAGACTATTCTCCTCTTTCTCCTTCTTGTAGTACTGGGGCTTGAACTCAGGGCCTCATGCTTGCTAGGCAGGTGCTCTACCACTTGAGCCACTCAGCCAGCAGTACTGGGGTTTGACTCAGGGCCTCGCTCATGCTTGGTAGGCACTCTACAATCTGAGCCATACCTCCAGCCCTGTCACCTCGTTTTCTATCCTTGAGGCCTGTTTGGTGAGGAAGCCTGATTTCAGCTGTGTGACCTTGGGTAACTCATTTACCCTCTCTGGGCCTCAGTCTCCCTATACAGAATATAAAATCCAGAGGTCCTTTCTGGTAGGGTGGTACCTCTTCTCGGAGTGGTCCCATCTGGTCCCCATCAACACAAGTGTCCTCAGACAGACCTTCCCTTGAGGGTAGGGGCCAGGGCTGAATGGAGCCCCAGCTACCAGAAGGAGGAATATGAGCCTGAGAGAGGCTGAGCCCAGCTACCACCTGTGTGTCCAGCCTGACGGCCCAAGAATGCCAGACACAGCTGTTTAGAGCCTCTGGCAAAGCATTTGTGGATGACCCCAGCCTGGTCTCCCCCATCTCAGTCATCCCATCTGCAGAATGGGCCGAGGCTGTGACAGATGGAGAGGAAGCAGGGGACACTAGCCAGACAGGTACCCTTCCTGGCCTCAGGGGACTGTTGGGAGATGGCTGGGAAAGTGATTGGTCACTGTCTGTCTAGCTGAGTGGACCAAGTAGAAGATCCAGGATAGGGTAAGGCCCTCAGAGGTCACTGTATCCATGGCAGGAGCCACAAATGACCCCTAGGGGAGTCGTGATCTCTCCCTTTCTGCCTCCAAACGTCTCCCCATGGCTTGTGGGAGCAATCCCCTCACCCCAAGACCTGGAGGCTCCTAGGTGCACCTGGCCACGCCCCTCCTGGCCTGCCCATTGTGGTCACCTAGGTCTGACTGTGGTACAGATAGCTACAGTTAAAGGGCAGCAAGATCACCATTGTGGAAGGACAAATATGAAGCCAGCAAGCCACTTGTCCCTGGCCCACCTCAGCCCTCTAGCCCTCTCCTGGAACTTTGCTGCTAGTGATCTAACACTGTGCGCCCAGGGACACAGGGACACCGGTTCAGCCTCCATCTGAGGGGCTCTGTGTTCCAGGTCACTGGGCTGTAGCCTGGAGGGCCTCACAGGGAACCTCACCCCCCATGGGGAGTGGTGAAAACAGCCTGCGGCAGCTGAGAAAACAGAAGTCCCCACAGGGCAGGGCCTGGCCTCTGCCCTGCGCCCTAGCCAGACACCGGGACCTCCTTCCTGTGGAACGCGGGGACACACAGATACGGCCCTTGCTCGTCAGGCGGGGGCCAGGTGAACGTGAGCTCCTGGGACACTAGCTCTGTCTCACCCCGGGGGCAGCTTCACAAGATGCTAGGCTGGGGGTCGTGAACCCGTGAGCCAAATCCACCCACTACCTCCTTTTGTGTCACTCAGGAACTGAGAACAGGTTTTTACAGTTTTAAATAGCTGAAAAACAGAAGAGTACGATGTGAAATTCAAATCTCGGTGTCCATAACTAGTTTGATTGGAACGCAGTCACACTACGTGCATTTGCAGGTGGCTGTGCCCTGCTGGCAGGTGTGCAGCCTCTGGGGACCAGGGGCTGTGCGTCCCACAAAGCTAAAAGATTTAGCACTGTCCTGTCAGAAAAGCCCGTGAGCGCCTGTGTTTAGAGCACTGGCAAAAACAGGCCACACCACTATCTTCCTCCTCTCCCCAAAAGCTTCAAGTTTTATAATTAGTGAATTTAGACCAAAGTTTTGCTCATTTCATAAGTTTTGGGTCTTACCATTTAATATTGGTGTGTGCGTGTAACAAACTTTTTAAGGTTTAGTACCTCTTGTTTTATTTTTGTTTGGTTGTTTTTTGGCAGCACTGGGGTTTGAACTCAGGGCCTCACGCTTGCTAGGCAGATGCTCTACCTTGTGAGCCACTCAGCCAGCCCTTTTTTTGTGATTTTTTTTTTTTCTTTTGAACTATTTTCCTGGGCAGGCTTAGAATCTCGATCCTCCTGAGTAGCTAGGATTATAGGAGTGAGCCTCCAGCACCTGGCTTGTTTTGTTTTTGAGACAGGGTCTCATTATGTAGACCAGGTTGGCCTGGAACTCGAGATCCTCCTGCCTCTGCCTCCCTACTGCTGGAATTATAGGCGTGCACCACCATACCCAGCCTTGCTTTAGAATCTACTCATCGCTTGTATCCACAGTTCGTGCATGCTCAGTAAAGGGGTTTAGTTGATGTTTTGGGATGAAATAGGCTCAGTTCTCTCTAGCAATCCAACAGCCCTGTGAGACTCTGTCCCATTTCATAGAGTGGGAGAAGTGAGGACACACAGTGGGGAGATTGGTGCGGCAAGTACTTACTCCCTGCTGGCCCAGCTCTTGCCCAGACCTGGAGTCACAGGAAGAGAAGCCCTTTCCTGACACTGCTCTGCTCCTGGGTGAAGTGGGGCTTCAGACTTTGTGGGGAGGCTGCTGGCCCCTCCCTCCAGCAGCTCTCTGGGCATCTGAGGTCCCCCCAGCTGGACAGGTTTCCAGGCCCTCCTCCCTCTCTCACTGGGAGGTCCTGGCAGGCTCCCAGGAGCCTGGAGAGAGAAGAGTGATAGGTTTTTTTTTTTTCCCCCCTTTTCCAGAGAACAGGGGCAGGTGTGGAGAGTGGCTCTGGAGAGCTCTGGGATGAGTGTGGGGAGTGACAGTCTGAACTTCTGGACAATCCAGCAAGGCTGGACCGTGCAAGAGGTGCTATGGAGACTAAGGGCTTTGTCTAAAGGGTGATAGAGGGAGTGTGGGAGCCTAGGAAGGCAAGTGGGGGTGCTGGGGCTAGAAGGGGGCACCCGAATGGGGAGGGGGTCCCTGGAGGTTTCCAATGGGCAGCCTCAAGAGGGGCTATTTTTGCTTCTAATGACCTCTCAACCGACTTAAGCCCTGGAAAACCTCTATAGCCAGCATTAGCTCTGAGCCTGCTAAACCACCAACCAGGCCCCTGCCCTCCACCTCTATGACAAAAGACAGAATGGGGCAGGGGACACCCAGCACTTCTCAGTGGTCCTGTGGGAGCATGGGCACAAGAACTAGCAGGTGGCTTTCTCTACTCTCATGGAGGTCTGTGTCTGTTCCAGCCCCATCTTGCTCCACCTTCCCTTTTTTCACTGCACTCCAAACACATTGGATGGACCCTGCTCTTTCCCACCCCAGGACCTTTGCACTGGCTGTGCCCTCTGCAGGGAACACTGGCCTACCTTCCTCATTCTTCAGATTGCTGTTGAAATATCACTAGTCTTCCCCAAGAACCCCCCCACAGGTTATTCCATGCTCTCAGGCCTGCAGCAGGTGACCTGCGTGACGTGTTTGTTTGCTCTTGACTACATGGGGACCTTCATTGTGGGTTTTCTAACGTAGATGTCTACTAAGGACTGTCTCTCCCTGCTGTACTCCGGTGCTTACTGCACAGTCAACACACAGTGGAAATAAATGACTGTATGATGGGGTGCACGAATGACTGTCATGACTCGTGACCTCGGCCATTACCTGGAGCTATGGAATCACAGAGGCTGAAATGTCATGACAAAGAGCCACTTGCTCCGAATTTGCCTGCATTTCTAGACTCGGTGAGCGGTATTCTGGTGTGCTGTAGGTCAGCAGTGGTGGACATGCCGTGGGGTCCACGCTGTCCCAGACGTAGCCACATGTGCCTGTTAAGTCCCTGAAGGGGGCGCCAGTTACAGAATTGTAACTAGTAAGTTTAAGTAGCTACCTGTGATTGGTGGAGGAAGCACCCGATGGTCCCCAAGGTTGTCACACGCAGCTCTGTCATCTAGGGGTTCACAGGAAATTCCCCACCCCCACCAGCTGCTCCTCAGGGTCACACATGACAAGGGTTCTTCGGCAGCTCCCACGAGACAGGCCTCAGCGGGGCCCAAGACAATGACGCAAGGAGCTCCCCACACTGGAACCGGCCTGAGAGTGGGACCATGCTTATCACCACTGTCACCTATCACTTCATCGCCATCACAACCACCACCACCATCTTACGACGCCACCACCAACACCACCAGGCGACACCTACACCCAGCACTGCCACCTGCATCATGTGATCACCAAGACCCTTCTCTTCCTCATCACCATGCATCAAACCGCTTCCAGTACCACCAAACGACATCACCAACATGGTCACCACCAAGTACGTCCACACCGATGCCCGCCCCCGCCACTGCCACCATTCTCCCCCTCCAGAACACCCCCCATCACTCCATCAACAATCCCATGTTGGAGGCACCACCACCACCACCTTCTCCATCACTACCCCACCCCTTCAAGGAATCCACCAACTTGCCCCACCATCGCCCTACCCCACCAGTCCAGCACCTGTAAGCGGCACCCCAGGCCAGTTAAGAACTTTGGCTCTGGAATTGAATCCCAGCTCTGAGTTTACACCCTTCAGTTTGGGGGAGACTCAGTTTCTTTATCCGTAAAATGGGACTATTGCTACTGATGCCACAATAAGACTCATTGCTTGTGATCAAACAAGGAAAAGCACATGCAGGCTATAGTCTTTGATAACTGAGTGCTAGTGCTCAGCTAGGTAGCGTCGGCTCTATTTTCTTTAATCCTCACACAGCTCTGAGGGTCAATGAGCTACCCATTTTGCTGTGAGGAAACTGAGGTTCAGTTGCCCAAGGCAACATCAAAGGCCAAGCCTTAAACTGGGCTGGCAAAGCCTGGCCCTTTTCCCCAGGGGAGAGGAGGAAGGCTGGACCAGCAGATGTGAGCTGGGATGCTGGGAATTTGGATATCTGGTTGGGAAAGGTGGGCGGGGCCTGCCAGTGGGAAGGGGTGGGTGGGGTGCTCACCTGTGTCCTGCCGAAACTGGTGCATGGACTGCAGGTCGATGATGTAGGGGACCAGCTGGGCGTCCACCTGCCCCAGGACCACAGAGCCACGGGCGTCTTCCTTGAGCACGTTTTCGATGTGGTGGCACACGGTGGCCGTGTAGGGCCGCCAGCGGCTGTGTTCATTCAGCCACTCCCACACCACCACCCGAGCCACGTTCTGCGGCGGGAAGCCCAGGCCGTTCCCAGGCACCATCACACCCTGGCCTGGCCGTGACATGGCCGCTACTGCCTCAGGGGCCAGGTCCCCTCTCTTGCTGGCCCACTCCTCCTGGGCCTGGGGGTGGCAAGGAACCGTTTTGTCCTGTCTCCCCAGGGAGCAGCAAGGACTGGGGCCTCCTTTCTAGCTGGGCTCCTCTCTAGGGCCTAGCGGCCTGCTAGGGGACCGTGGGGTGGCAATCGGGCTCCAAAGACCCCTTCCGCAAGGCAGAGCTGTCTGAATACCAGGGCCAACCCGGAAAGCACGTCTCTTCCTTAGGATGGGTGAAGCGTCTCCCAATTCCTGGGTCACCACCGCTCAGCGGAGGGAGTGAGGCAGCTGCCCTTGTTCTAGGTCCAGCCTCTTCCCTGCTGGCCTCCGGTCCTCTTCTCCCCGCCACGCCACGCAGGCCCTGTCACCCGGGAGGCCCGGACCTCCGCCTGCTGTGTCCGCGGCGCTCGCCAGCGCTCTGCGCTCCCCGCTGCGTCCCGGACCCCGTGCCCGGCTTCCGCGGGGCTCGCCTGGCCTCGGGTCCGCCCCTCCCCGACGGCTGCTGCCGCAGGGGCCGTCCCTGTCCCCCTAGTCCCCTCTCCACAGCGTGCAGGAAGCCTGGGTGTTCACAGAACGGGCGGGGAAGGGGGGCGACACGGACCCACGGCTCGCGCGCGGGGACTGCGGCTCGGGACTGGGCTTGGGAAGGGAAGAAGGGGCCGAGGGGGGCGGGGGCCGTGGGCACGCCCCACCCCACTCGTGCTCGCGACCTGCCAGGAGACAAGAAGGGGAAAGGGCCCTTTAAGAGGAGAGAGCAGCCCCCTCCCCCTTCCCAGGAGAGCGATCGGGGCTGAGAACAATGGGGAGCTGGGGGGGCAGCGGGGGGCGGCAGGGGGGATTGGGGGGTCGCCTCCCGCCTTCTCTTGGGGCTGGCTTGGAGGGAGAGCCGGGGTCTGGGTGCGGGTTCTCCCTGTCTGCAGAGCCCCCCACCCTACTCCACCCCACCTCGCCTCCGAGCTCGCGAGCGTCCCCCCAACCCTGGGCCCGCGCCCTGCCGGGGATGCGGGGTGCGCGGGGATGCGCGGCGCAGCGGGCGCGGCCCAGGGCCCCTCGGGGGTCGCGTGATCAGGGGCGACAGGAGCTGGATGGTCACTGTCCCCCCCTCCCCAGAGGAGCAGCCCACGCCCCCCCACTCCCCCCGCAGGAGCCGGGGCTGGGGTCCCTCCGTGCCGCGCTCACCGCCTGTCCCCGGCGCTGGCTGCTTCCCGTGGCGCTCGGCCGCGCCGCCTCCCCGCCCCGCCCCCGCGCGCTCCCCGCCTCCCCGCCCCGCCCCGCCGCGCGCGGACCGACGGACGCAGGAGCCGCTGCCGGCCGGGATCCCGCGGTGGGAGGCGGCGGCCGCGCTCGAGGAGGGGGAGGGGGAGGGGGAGGGGCCGGGAGGGGCGGGGAAGGAAGGGGAGGAGACGTCGCTGCCACGCGCCCCAAATCCTCCGCTGGGCCCGTCTGCCACCCCACGAGGCCTCGGGGTTCCAGGTGGGCCCCAGGCAAGGGAGGGGGGTATTTAGGGATCATCTTTGCAAACCCATCGTCGCTTAGTCCAAGGCCTGGTACACAGTAGGCGCTCAATAAATGCTTGATGCAATTACTCCGATCTAGAGAGAGAGTTCCAAGAACTGGGGTCTGGGTAGCTTCCGTTTCTCCTCTCGCTATTCATGAGGGTAGGAAGGGACCCTTTAGAGCCAAATGGAACTGCTGAGTCAAGTGTTACAGATGGCAAGACTGAGGCCCAGAGGAAGAACCAGGTCCACGAAGCTTAGAGCAGTGCAGCAGTGGATCCCAGCTGTGGTTTTGCCATGCAGCCACTGAGTTCTTTCCCCAGCATCCCAGCACCCACCTGCCCCGGGTGAGAGAGAAAAGCACCCTGCCTCTCAGCCAGGGCAGGGGACCAAGGCGAGGAAGCACAGGCCTTGGAGGAAGCAGGGAGGGGGAGTGTTAGGCTGGGTCAGTCACAGCTGCCTGCAAACAACAGGTGTCCAATTCATGCAGGCTGAGTAAATGGCTGGATGGAAGAGGGAGCGGATGGTGCAGCAGCTCGAGTGTTAACAAGAGTCAGGCCTTTGCCCTCTGGCCAGCTGGATACAGCTGAGGACAGCATCAGCTGGGAGGGGCGGCCCCCTGCCTGCGGTGTTTAGATTGGGGAACATGAAGGATATGTCCGGGAACTCCAGCCTGGGCGACGGTCCCGGGTCAGAAGCCGGTTTGGGAGTCTGCCCAGAGCGGCCCACGCTCCTCTGCCCCCTCCCCAGGGCAGACGGTCAGGAGCCAGCTGCTGGGGTTGGTGGGGGGGATGCTTTCCCAGTACTGAACTTGGCCAGCTGGAGTGCTGTCCTCACCCCAGGCCCCCTGGGTCCTCCAGGCTGACTCTGCTGCCTGGAGAGGGAGGCAGGTCCAGGTCTGCAGGGATAATGCTCCAATAGGAGCACTGGATGCTGGATTTTAGCCTAGGGTCCGCCAGTGACTCTCGGGGTACATGGAGGCACCTGCCTATTATTGGCACCTGTGCATTGAGGACAATTTGGCCTCCTGCAGATTTCTGTAAAGGAGGCCATGAGCCGAAGGGGTCAGAGCTAGCCAGATGCCAGTGGCTCACGTCTGTAATCCTAGCTACTCAGGAGGCAGAGATCAGGAGGATCGTGGTTCAAAGCCAGCCTGGTCAAATAGTTCATGAGCTCCTATCATGAAAAATCCTTCACAAAAATAGGGCTGGTTGGAGTGGCTCAAAGTGAAGGCCCTGAGTTCAAACCCCAGTACCCCCCCAACACACACACAGGAAAAGGGTCAGAGTTGATATCCGACAAACAACCTTGTCCTTTATAGAAGGGACCTGGGGACCTCAAAGTGGGAAGAGATTGGCCCAAAGTCACATGGGGACTTCATAGCAAATAGGAAAGAAGAACCCGTCTTTGGACTTCCTGTCTCATGCTGTTTAAGGCCTGACCAATGTCACCTCCTCCAGGAAGCGTTCCCTGAATTCGTCCCATTTCTCCTTTGTGCTCATTTGTCTGTACCTTGGTAGGACTCCCTGTATCACAATTAGCCATGTAAATGAATCCATTCCTGCTGGAGAGAGACGTCCATGAGACCAGGACTGGTGTGGCTTGAGTTCACTGCTCGACAGATGGTGTTTAATGTGCCTGACGCATGCATTATACTCAGGGCTCTACAACCATCCCACGAGGTAGGAATCTTGTTTTCATTTTACATGTGGAAAACAAAAACTTCCTGAAGTTCAGAGAGGTCAAGTGGTTTGTCCAAGCTCCCCTGGGAAGTAAGCGGCAGAGCTGAGATTTGAATCCCAAGTTCCTTTGCATCTCCCACAGCACCATGCTGCCTTTGTGTTTGTTGAATGACTAATGAATTCCTGAGGGTCTACAAGGCGCCCCTCCACTGTGGAATATTTGGGAGTGCAAAGTTCCATTCCCAGGGCACCCTAAGAGAAAGGGCTTCCAAGGAGAAGGGATTAATTTGGCCACAAAGGAGTTCATAGTTGTTGGTTTTTTTTTTAACTTTTTTTGGGTAGTATTATGGTTTGAACTCAGGGCCTCATGCTTGGTTGGCAGGTGCTCTACCACTTGAGCCACTACATCTGTCCTTTTTTGCTTTAGTTATTTTTTTGGATAGGGTTTCCACTTTTTGTCCTGGGCAGCTCTGAACCACAATCCTCCTGAATAGCTGGAATTATAGGCCCAAGCCACCACACCTGGCCCTGGTTTGCGTTTTTGAGGAAGAGTCTAGCAAGACTCACTATGTAGCCCAGGCTGGCTTTGAATTCACGGTCCCCTGCCTCAGCCTCCGGAGTGCTGGGATTACAGGCGTGTGTGGTTCACACTTGACTTGGATATTGGCTCAGACACTAGGAGAACAAAAGCAAATCCATTGTGACTCTGCAGCTGTCCCTCTCGTCCACTGAGGGACTGCTGTGCCACCTAGAAAAGCAACAGCCTCATTTTCCGTCCTGTGAGTTTTCTTCCTGCTTCCTCGTGGGCCAGGACACCAGCAGAGGTTGGCCATACAAAGAATCCAACCCATGGGGCCGAGTGGAGGATTCGTCACTTTTCTTGACCTTGGAGTTGCTCACCGAACCGGGGGTTGATCACACTCTGCCTGTGAGGGTTGTGGTGGTTTTCTCAGCTGGTGACCACAGATGACTCCAAATTCACCCAGGTAACCATGCTTCGCTACCACGATTAGAAGCTGGGTGCTGCCTGCCGAGCAGGACGTGCAGGAATCTGGTGTTCGCCGCTCTTCTCGGCACTGTTGATGCTCTGGGCGAGCGGTCAGGACTCAGCGTGCACCATCGTGAGCGGAGAGGACAGAAGGAGAGGGACACAGTCATCTATCATCTGTCTGTCTGTCATCTATCCATCTATCTATTTTTGGTTATCTGTCTATCCAACTGCCTATCCATCTATCTACCCATCTATTCATCCACCCATCAACCACCCATCTCTTCATCCATGGCTTATCTATCTATCCATCCATCCAACTGCCTATCCATCTGTCTATCTGTACATCTATCTATCCATTCATCCATAAAACTTCCTCCTTCCCTCCCTCTCTTCCTCTTTCTTTTCCTTCTTTCACCTCTCCTCCCTTCCTGCTTTTTTCCTTCCTTCCTCCCTCCATCCCTTCTTTCTTTTCTTCCTCTCCTTTCTTCCTTCCCTTCCTCCCCTCTCCTTCCTTCCTCCATCTTTTCCTCCTTCCCTCCCTCCTGTCTTCCCTCCCTCGTTCCCCATCCATCCATTCATCACTCAACACTGCTGGCACCCGGCTGTGTGCTGAGATACACAAGTCTCAGAGTTCAGCAGGGAACTCAGAAGTGAACCAGAGAATCACGCAAACTGGCGAGGGCATGAAGAAAAAGTTCAGGACATCCAAGGGCCTCTTCTGGTGGTCTTATCAGGTCTAGGGGGTCTGGGAGAGCTTCCTGGAGGGGGTGAACTTCAGCTCAGGCCTGCAGGACCCAGCAGCCAGGAGAGGAAAGTTTAAGGCAGAGGAATCAGAAAGGCCTGGTGGCAGGAAAGAGGTGGCGGTGGGGGGGTGGGCAGGGGTGAGGGTGAGCAGGGCTGCCAGGCCCAGCCTTTAAGGATCAGACTTTATTGAGCACCTGTGGTATACCCAGCCCTGGTCTGGGTATGGTAGGACTTGGAAGGGGAGGTATTGTCACTCTGCTGTCCCCCCCATTCCACAAACTCTGAGTTCAGTCTTCTCTGAGTGCTTCTTCTCAGCCCTCTGCAGCCTGGTGGCCGGCCAGCTGTGACCTTTCCTTTAGCGGTTGAGAAAACACTTAAGAGGAAAACAGGAAGCAGAGGGAGGACTGTTCGGTGTCTTTGGGGACTGAACAGGGCCTTAGAAGCCTTTTTCTGCTGAAAATAGGGGACTTCCTTGGGGCTGTGGGGAACTAGGGGGCTTAGAGAAACCCCAGAAGGCAGACATCCACAGCTGGCCCTGGTGGCCAAGAGATGCCGCTCTGGTGGCCACGTGAGCAGGTCGTGGCCCTGGACCAGTGTTTCTCCATCTCCAGGTGGGGGGCTGGTGTCAGGGACAAGATTCCTGGGTCTTGCCTGAAATTCACACTCAGCTGCACTTGAGTGGGACAGAGCCTCTTAGGGTGACATGAACGGCCCACCTAGAAGTGCTGGCCTCCCTCTGTGCACAGGAAACTTTCCAGCAAGCATTGAAAAATGGCCCAAATATAAGCCCCACCTCAGAAACTCACGTGTCTGGCCTGGGGTCTGGGTGTCAGCATAGTTTTCCCCTCCCTGGGGTTGAGGAAGCGGAACTGAGAGAGGCTGAATTAGCTGGTCTGTATGAAAGCACTCAGGACCTGTTTTTGGGCTGTTGACTTGCTCATTCAGTTAGAAATTGTTTATTGAAGCCAGCTGTGGTGGTACACACCTGTAATCCCAGCTACTCAGGAGATGTAAGTAAGAGGATTGAGGTTTGAGGTGGGCCCCGGGCAAAAACTCGAGACCCTACCTGAAAAATAACTAAAGCAAAAAAAAAAAAAAAAATTAAAGCAAAAAAGGGCTGGGGGTGTGGCTCAAGTGATAGAGCGCCTGCCTAGCAAGAGTGAGGCCCTGATTAAAAGCTGCTGGGAGTGGACTGTGAGCCAAGAATTATCTATCCCACTTTATCTATCATCTATCTATCTATCTATCTATCTATCTATCTATCTATCTATATCTTTGTGAACTGAGGGTAAAGAGAAAAAAAGCAAGTAGAGGAGGGAGGAGGCTGGAGTGTGCTGGGTGTGGGGGTAGGGTCACCACTGAGGTGGCAGCTGAGCCAAGACTTAAAGGAAGGAAGTAGAGAACCATGAGGAGATCTGTGCCGGGTGGAAGGCACAGCAAGTGCGAAGGTCCTGAGGTAGGAGAGTCCATTGTATCTGTAGGGATAGCAGGGAGGTTAGGGGGCTGGAGGGAAGGTGTGCAGGAATGTGTCCTGGAGATGGAGGGAAAGAATGAAGCAGGCTGGGGTGGGGGGAGAAAAGGGGGAAGGAGAGGGAGAGAGGAAAGAGAAGGAG